TTCATTAATGTGACAGGATACAAGATCAACTCAAAAAAATCAGTAGCCCTCCTATATACAAATGATAAAGAAGCTGAGAATGAAATCAGAGAAACATCACCTTCATAACAGTCACAAATAACATAAAATATCTTGGGGGTAACACTAACTAAAGAAGTGAAAGATCTATTTGACAATAACTTTAATTCTTTGAAGAAAGAAACTGAAGAAAATACCCGAAAATGGAAAGATCTCACATGTTCTTGGACAGGTAGGATCAACATAGTAAAAATGGCAATCCTACCAAAAGCAATCTATAAATTCAATGCAATCCCCATCAAAATCTCAACATAACTCTTTATAGACCTTGAAAGGACAATAATAAACTTCATATAGAGAAACAAAAAACCCAGGATAGTCAAAACAATCCTGTACAATAAAGGAACTTCTGGAGGTATCACCATCCCTGATATCAAGCTCAATTATAGAGCTACAGTAATGAAAACAGCTTGGTATTTGCATAAAAACAGAGAGATTGACTAATGGAAAGAAATCAAAGTCCCGGATATTAATCCACATACCTATGAACACCTGAGTTTTGACAAAGAAGCTAAAATTACACAATGAAAAAAACAAAGCATCTTCAATAAATGGTGTTGGCATAATTGGATATCAACATATAGAAGAATGAAAATAGATTCGTATCTATCCCCATGAACAAAACTCAACTCCAAATGGATTAACAACCTCAATATAAATCTGAGCACACTGAACCGGATAAAACAGTTTACTTCTAAACTGACATTTAGTAAATGACTTATAGCCATTTTTATTTATTAATCTTTTTAGCTTTACTGCTTCATTTATGATAACACTAGAAAAAAGTTATACTTAAAATGTTAATTATTATTTATAAAGTATTTTGGAGGGAATACTGTATATACTGTACACAATACTCTATGTGTGTTAAATTTATAAAAAACACATCAGTATTTTTTCTAAATAATGTATGTATGAATATGTATAGACACATCAATAGAGACAACCTGGGGAATTATAAAATGATTATAACTTATGTTTACTATGGTTTATAAAATACTGTTTGGTCTCAAGAGGTCAGGGCAACTTGAGTTTGGTGACCTGTCTTTGGTCATGACTTCCTCATATGAGTGACTTAGCACAGCCCTACCTAAACCTATCTCTGCCCAGTCACCTCTAATGTGGCAGAATATTATTGGCCATTATTCCTTACTTACCTCACCCCATTCCCCAAGACTCCCATCCCCTATCACAACCCTAAATAAGTTCCTGCCTAATACAATTAAATGAGATCCTGCTTCAACAAGACTCAGTGTGCTTTTCTCAGGTGGCCAAGCAGGGAGGTCTGGGTCATCCACACTCACCATCCTGCTGAGTCCCAGGTAGAGACCAGCAGGATTGGCTCTGCCACAGCCCTACCTGCAAAACACATAACAGTGGTGATAGTAGAATTCTATCTCAGAGCCTGACTTTCGTCTTTGGAAACCTCTGTGATATTCCTAATGCTAGCAAAAGTCATTACACATTACTGCATATTGATCTGATAGACTGTGGACTTTTACTGAGGATATTATGACTCCATGTGCGGTTCTAAAGGAAGTTATTTATATTTCCATAAAAACATGAGTTTTAAGATGTGTGAGGAACTGAATAGGTTATATCCTGGTGTTCTGGAATATATATATATATATATATATATATATATATATATATATATATATATATCTTGAATATATAGGCAAGTTTCAAGACATTAATGGGAATTTATTAGAAGCAGAAAGGCTTTTAAATATAACCTTTGTACATTTAGCTTGACAAAAATACTTGTTTCTTGAACAAACCTATTGCTTAGGAATTACACTGCTTTGAAGAGTATCTGCCCTCCGCCATTTGCATCTGCCCAGAACCTGTGATTGTGTTCTGCCCTGAAACAGGATCTTTATGAATGTCAGAAAGGTAAGTCAGGATTCAGATGAATCCTGAATCACAGAAGTGTGGTTCCAAAAAACAAAAGCAAAAAAAAAAAAAAGGAAATTTAGAACAAAAACAGAGGCAGAGGGTCAATGTCAAGTGGCTGTGGAGTTAGACGCAGAGCCATCTACAAGATACAGAACACCTGACATGCTCTGCTGGCAACTAGTAAGTTCTAGGAAAAGCTGAGGAAGAATCTCGGCCAGCATCCTGCTGATATCTCCACTTCAGCTTACTAGGCAAAGACCATTATAGAAAACCACAATTAATCAAAACGTAAAGTTGTAGAGTCCAGCACTAATGGAAACATCTACAATACAACTCACACATTTAAGGCTCAGTAATCCTTGTGGAGGAGGGAGGTTGAGGATTTTAAGAGACAGAGAAAAAGGGTGTTTGCTGTGAGATCGTGTCTCCTAGTAATAACAGAAATGCTACAACCATATAGTCTTATCAACATGATTGCCTAAACATGGTCTGAACAAGGAAACCAACTAATGTGGTCCCTGCTAATGTGGAAGAGGAAAGACCAGAAGGCCTCAGCACTACACAAAATACTACAGATGACCAAGGATTACTGGGTGTGGGGAAAATAGTCTTTCCACATGGAAGAGGACACCAACTGGTTATCCAATATCAAATGGTCCTCCTGAAAACAGGCATGCAAGCAGCATTATACATATTGAGCAGGTTTAGGTTATGTACTTAGAAACACACACACACACACACACACACACACACACACACCATCAATAAAGAGTGAAAAAAGGAGCCATGAGTTTGAAAAAGATCAAGAAAGGATATATGGGATGGGTTAGAGGGAGGAAAGCATATAATTATATTATACTTTAAAATATAAAAAATTTAATAAATGTGGCATGCATGACCAGGGAGAGTGGTTCATAATTTGTTTTTGTTCTTGTTATATATATATTATATTCAGCTTGGATAAAATGAGCTTGGTATCATTTCTTCACTTTCTATTTTATGGACAGTTCTGTGGAGAGTTGCTTAGTTCTTCAAAGGTTTCATAGAATTCAGTAGAGAATACATCTGGACTTGAGCTGTTTTAGCTGTGAAACTCCAATCTCATTGCTTGCTATAGATCTATTAAAGTTTCCTATGGTACATCAAAGTTTTCTCTTTTCTGAAATATTATGTTTTTTGTTTTTTCAAAAACTCATATTGCTTGCAATAAAGTTGTATTTCTATTAACTGATATTAAAGGCATAAAAACAGACTCAGAGAACTTTTAATGCCACTTTAATGTGATCTTAACATTATAATATTCCAAGAAATAGTTACATTGGTCCTGTTGTATATGTTCACATCATTTCTATCACATACACACAGTATTTCGCCAAGTTTACAGATCAAGATCCAGAAATAAAACAGCTAACTTATTTTTTTAAAGCTATACTCCCAATTATGTCTCAAATTCATTGTCTCCTAAATTTTAATGAGTACTAACTGTCCTTAATTAGACCATGGTCTTGAGCAAACCATTGGTCCTCTTTAGAATTGATTTCACAAGTTCTGAGATAAATGTTTCAACAGAACAATCTCTAGGGTGCTCGTTAGCTTCAAACCCTCATTCAGTACCAGACAGATTTGTGTTTTCTTATGAATAAATAATATGATTTCTCACAGAAAATGGCATGCAGTGCTTCTTAAAGACAGCAAGGAGAAGTAGAGATGCCTGGTGAGTAAAGAATCAAAAGGGCAACATATATAAGAAGAAGGCGAATCTATTACTTGCTAAAATGCTTGTATAAATTCTTTTTGGGGAAAATCATAAAATACTGTATATTTACAAAACCCACATGAATTCTGCTCCAACTTCAATACAAGATATTAAATTGGGAAGGGCCTGACAAAGGCACCTTAAAATATTAAAGACTTAATACATTTTTTATACTTTATTATGTTAAGTAGAATATGATATTATTTAATTATATTTAGTTATCCATAAACAATTATTATAAGACAGTTTAACGATTTGAGTGAATTTATCATTTTTATTCCTATCAAGTATTATGATAGCCTTAGCCAATACTGAGTAATTTTAAAATGCTATACTATGCCTTGTATTTACTTATTACATTGCACAATTTAATAAGAAACAATGAAAACAATCTTAATATTTTTGGTATATAAAAATGATACAGTGTTTTTGTTGGTTCAACAAGATGAATAATTTACCACTGTAATTCTGTTAAATAACTGCAGGAGTTGCATTTTTACTTTGAGAAACTTTTCTTCAAAACATAGCTGTGAAACAGCTTTGGCTTCAAATGGAAAGGGTACAAAAAAGCACTTCTAGCTAGAGTCCGGTTCAAGAGGTTTATGGAGGTGAACAGCAGAAAAGATGAAATGTTTCAATAAGTCCCTTAGGCTGATTTAGTTAGCACCCACAAAGCAGAATAACCTATACATCACATACCCTTTGTTAGCTGATTGTTTAGAATAGATGTATGAGTCACTGAGTTTTATTTTAGCAGTTGGGCAATGCAATTCTCCTTTTGCCTGAAATATTAAAATCTAGAACTGTGAGCGGTAATGACAAATCTCATACAGGATGCTAATCAACCACTGTGATGGATTAAGACATTCTTTAAACCTTGTCATTCCATCTTTCACCTTGGTCAGCACAGATGATAAATTACCACTTATAAAATTTCTATTATATTAATCAGTCACCTATGGTAAATAATTTTTAAAAAGTGTGTGCAGTATTAGAGCTGTCAAAGAGAGAAAGCTAAAAAAAAAAAAAGAAAAAAAAGAAACCTGACATTTGAGAAAGATATAAAGAATGCTATTCTGAAAGATTTCACATTCAAAATTCATATACAAATGAATCCCTCTGGAAGCCAGACAGGGAGGAACACACACACACACACACACACACACACACACACACACACACACATATGTATGTATGTATGTACATATGTATGTAACAGATATTTAATTTTTTACCCTTAGACATGAAAGAGAATTAATGAGGGTACCTGCAACAACGCTGGCAAGTTGCTGGGTTCTGGAGATAGGGTATATGCTGCGTGCTTGAATGATTGCAGAAGCAATTTTCTTGGCATGCTTCTCCTCTCCATATGCTCTCAGGATGGATGCAAGTGCTTGTTGATCTAAAGCATTCACAACATCAGCAGCAGTGGGCATGTCAGGATACCTGTGCAAAAAGGAGCCAACCAGTTTACTGACACCATTTTCATTGACAAGTGTTGATATTTCAGAGTACTGGAAACATGAACGCAGGCATTCGTCACACATTGCCTAGAAGAAATTCTGAAACAGACTGAAACAGCACAGAAATAAAAGAGAGTTTCTGTTTTACATAGTAATCATTATGGCAAGAGGATCCTGAAACATTCATTTGAGGTCAAGGAAATGGGAAGTTATAGTATTTTCTTAATCTTTAACTTTCATTCATAAAAAAGTTAATATTGATTTTGTAGCTTTCTCTTAAGATAAAATAGAAGAATGTTTAGATTTAACTTATTCAAAATTTAAGTTACTGATTGAATTATTCGGGTTTTTTTAGACTAGGAGACACAATGCTGACAGATGATAACTGATCAAGTCTAAGCGCTAGTGAGTAATCCATGTCAGCAAAAAACATATATGTGGAACAACCGCAAAGCCCAACTTAGAAAGTCTACACAAGAAGACGCTAGGCAGTTTCCCTGCACAATAACTAAAAGACCTAATGCTAACTGTGCATGTTCTGGATATTTGATATTAGCTTAGGCATCAGTGACAAATGTCATCATGGATTAAAGCTTCAAAATAAACAGCACTGATTGAAAAAGGCTAAATATTATTTTCAAGTATGGCACGAAAAGAAAATCCAAGTTCTGACCACACAGACTAAATTATACTAGCATAAAATAGTGTTCGCTGTCAGATCATTCTAGTTTATTTCCAATTAGAGAAGTGGGTCAAAGCATTCTAACTGATGTTAGCCACGACGTGACTTATCAGGAACATCTGAAAGGAATACAGTTACTGCTCCACACAAATATGTGGGAGTATTAGCTTCATACTGTGAATAGTCATGAGTTCCAAAGATACAGGAGCATTAAAACCCAAGGTTTAAGATACATTGAGGTTGAAAAACATCTGAAATTCTCTTGGAAAATCATTACCTTGTTAACATGCTTGTGAATCCAGGAAAAAGTTTGATCCTTGTACTCCATTTTGCATGTCTACTTGTCTATCTCTGAAACTCGTAGTCTCTCTCTGATTTTTGGGGGGGAGTGGGAAACATCCTATTCCATATATGATGATTTTATTTTTCATTTCGGCTTACTTTTATTTATTTATGTATGTTTTAAATTGAAATGTGATTATACTCCGTCACCTTTCCTCACTCCAGCCCTTCCCACCCTCTCAAACTGACAGCCTCATTTTCTTTTGAAACCCTGTACCAATGAATCTTATATGGTAGCCCTAACTTTGATCTCGGTGGTTTGCTTTTTTTGACTTACAAATGAAGATCCTTTCTTTTAAGGTTGTAATGATCTTAAAGGATTTGCAGCCTTGTTGTATAGGATAAAGTTTTAAATGCAGTAGACTTTCAATTTTAATCTGGGAAATGAATATAACAATTATTATCTCAATTATTAAATTGTTGGGAGGACGCCCACATGACATAGTAAATACTGGGCAATAAACATTCATGATCTTCAGATATTTCCAATTATTATATTTGCCAGCCATCATTTTGACTATAAAAGACAAAAATTCCTGCTAGATCTTACCTACTTATGAATTTAGTTACCCAAGCCACTGCCCATTGGGGACAATACTTGCTATTCAGATCCTTAGCTCTATCAGTGCTACTATAAGACAGTATGGATGGATTTAGTTTCTCATAACTTTCTACTTTTAAAAAAGAAAATTAAAATAGCATTTTGATCAGGTGGCATTTAATGAACAAAGGTATGATATTTTCTTACTGTTCCATTAACACAAAATATTTGTGTAGAAGTTTCCATAATGCTAGAAAACAAAAGGAACATCACTCTTGGAGTTGGAAGGTGAGAAATCTGTATTAGAACAGGCATTAATATGATGGACAAGAAGCACTGCTCCTCTATGAAAACACAAATTTTACCCTTGTCAGTCCAAAGATTTCCTTAACTCACTGCAACCAAAATCATAAGAGAAAGTCTTAACTAGGGTGCCAGTTTATTATCTCCCAACAAAGAAGTAGCCTTTCAAGTTCCTGAAGCTTGGAATTCCTCCCTGCTACATGAGAAGATAATCTAAAAGCAGTGGCTGGTGAGATTTGGGTAAACATAGAGTTAAGACTCTACTGTGATCCAGTGTGAAAATGACTCTTGTGTGTGTCTTTATCATAGGAATCTATCACATTCTGGGGTCGCACAGATCACAAGTCTGTCTCTGTGTGTGTGTGTGTGTGTGTGTGTGTGTGTGTGTGTGTGTGTGTGTGTGTGTATAAATATAATTTTTTCCCCATGGCCTGCCCTTCTACTTGTATTTGCAGTGCACATCTTTGTATGCCTGACTTTCATTTTCCCATATATGCAAGTAAACTGATTTTCCTGTTCTGAATACTCATATAGGTCATAGTCCATATGATCTACCTGGAAGATCTTCAACTTTTAAATATATATATTATTTAAACTATAATTTCAAACATAAGGTATTGACTTGAGGGCTTAATTCTCAGGAACAATCTTATTTTGTATTTCCTGAGGAAAAACGCATGGATGTAGATTTACAAATTAAAACTTGCCCAAAAAGCTTTTACATTAAGAATATGGTAATTCATTGCTATTAATTAGATGATTTGTTCACTGTATTACAGAAAGTACCTTTCTTCCTCAGCAAGACACAGGAAGAGTATAAATTTACTCAATATTTTATTTTATACAACCCCAACTTATTTCCAAAGTTGAGAATATCTGATCTTCACTATTAGATCCTAGTTGTTAAAAGATTTATTTTATCATGATATGCTTAGTTCTATAAATGCTAATATTGCATGCAAATAGAAGAAGGCAAAAGATTCAGAAACAATACAATTCTAATAAATATGTCTCTATTTAGCACTCATGTCACATATCAAGGTAAGAGACCATATATGAGTATTTGTCACAGGATATTCATGGCATGACACAATGTCCATGCAAAAATCAAGGGTAAGCTTTGGAGATATAGGTTATTCTGGCATGAGACCACTAGTAGGTTCAGATGTCAGTACTAATTTAAGCTTTAAAATCAATGTTGAAAAAGAAAGTTTTCCTAATCTTCCCTACAATGCAACATAATGCCATTAAATGGAGTGTGTGTCTATCTGAATTGAATCATGGTAAATAAGCATTAGTATATTTACAGTGCCAAAGAATGAAGGGGAGTCACAGGTAACAGTCTGTGCTGACTTATGTCGTGATGTAGGATACAGTGCCATACACTGAATATACTTCAGAGAAGATACAACTAGGGTGACTGCATAATAGATAGAACAAAACAGAACTGCTGACCACAGGAACCCTGCCAGACTTTTTTTTTTTTGCAGCATTATAAAAGAATATCAATTAAATCCAGCTACTCTTCCTTCTTACATATACATAGCTGGATATGCACAAAAATAAAGCAATTGTTTCAGCATTAACTTTTTCCAAATTACTATTAAAAACCCATATTGTCGGTGAAAAAAAATCCCATAAAAGTTGATTTCCTCATTCTGAATACCTCCTCACTATATTCTGTAAAGAAAGTAAATATTTTCCTTTTAGAATTCCAAAGCCAAAGAAAGACTGAAGTCTATAATGAGCACCACACACAGCTGATTTACTATGTATGGACAGTGCTGGATGTGGGAGTGTGCTGGGAATTTTTCAGTCTTCAAGGAAATTAAATTCAGAATGATTTTAAGAAATTGATTTTTTTTATGGTAAGAAGAAACGCTTTTTTAATACCCACCTGTCTCCATCCATCCTCATGTCCAAAGGACCATCCTTCCGAAGGGAGAAACCTCGCTCAGGAGCATCAAGTTGCATGGAGGAACACCCCAGATCCAAAAGAACTCCATCAACAGTTCCTGGCTGCACTCCAGCTTTTATTAACAAAGCCTCTGCCTCGCTGAATTGGCCTAACAAAGCTTGGACCTGTTTCCTGTGAATAAACCCAAGATAGAAGAATTCTGCTGTATCAGACTTTCGTTACATTTTTGACCAAAGGAAGGGAGTACATCCTGGACAATTTACCTAAAAAAATTACACAAAGTACCATGAACTTGCTTAGCATTATACTTTTGAGAAAGTATATATTTAGAAATCAGAAAAACAACCCTTGGTCAGACTAGGTTTTACCTTCTTTAAAAATTTCTTACACTCATGAGTAAGAAAGGCAGCACATGAAATTCTTACAAAAGAATTACTTAACTTACAAGCAAATTCAAATACAGTAGGCATAAAACAAAACTAACATAAATAAAACATGCATACACATCATGAATGCTATTCAATCACAAAAAAGGAATGAAATCTAGCAATATGTGCAACAATGCAGATGGAAGTGGAAATCATTATGCTAGGTGAGTTAAGAATGTGCAGGAGAACGGGTAATATATAACTTGCATTCATATGTGAAATATTAATACACTGATCTCAATGTTGAGGTTAGTATGGGTATCTTGTAGTGATGAGAAAAGAGTTGGGGAAAGAAGAAAATAAGAAAGGTTGCTCAATGTATAGTTACTAAATCTTAAAGAGTAAATAAGGATTTTAATGTGCTACTGTACTCTGATTTAAACATTACAGAGTGTACACATGTATTCCACACTACCCCATTTACAGGTAGTTTTTAGGTACCTGTTAAATACAAATCTCTAAGTAATAAAAAGAACCATGAGGAAATTTTTTAATATGTCCACTCCCAGTATTTGACTGCTATGCATGTTTATCCTGTACTTAGGACAGGGGTATTATGTAGCTACAAACATCAGGAATAAAATAAGGACAGTACTCAATAACTACTGAAGAATTCTTCTTCCAACAAGAATTTCAAATTGGGCATGAAGCATTCAGAATCAACAGACAGGAAGAGGTTTGGATCACCATGTTGCCATTCCAGTTCTCCTTCCTATGCAAAGGAAGCTGCTGCCCTTAGGCTTCAGCAGAGGTCTTAAGACAACAAGGATCCATTTCGGAAGGAGAATGGGCTTGTATTTTAACAACATTAGGCAATTCACATTTAAAGCATTTACTTATATCTTATGCCATTGAAGGGAAAAGTCACAGCTCACTGGTAATTTTTCCTCAAATTCTGGATGAAAGGGTAATTTCTGGATTCTCTTAGATTACATGCCAAATATTCCCTACATTTCTGCTGTGGCAGTTATTATGCTATTTGGCGAATATAACAAGGGGGGAGGAAAACTAGTAAGTCATGATTTTTTGAGTTAACAGCTGAGAGGAACAGATACATTTTACAGAGCAATCTGGCTGGAGCTAATGATAGAGAGATAAATAAGTGCTCTACCTGTTTTAGAAAAATATCAATGCTAATAAAACTGTATTGCAAAAGCAAAAAACAATAAAGTTTCAGGATTAGAACACATTTCACTAGTCACTTATGCCAATGCTGAAATTTGAATCTTTTCCTACTCCAATATCATAAGTAGGGGCTGAAAAAAGGAACTATTCTGTTCTAATCACCTCCAGATTCCAAACTTAGGCTACAGTGATAGTCAAACATCCATCACTCCTTACTGGATATAGGTGATTAACCACATCTACTCACAATTTTGTGGACAAGGAAACAAAACTATGAGAGTACATGGATGAGGGAGGAAGTATGTTGTCAAAGCACCTCCTTGTTGTTACAGAAGGATGTGATTGGCTTGTTTGAATAGCTGCTCAAAATTACAGGGAACTGAAGCTGCTGATCAAACAGAAGCAGAAATAGAGTCCAAGAGATCCCTCTGCCAAGAAAAGATGCTCAGCTAGGGAATCTTACCTTCAAGAGCACAGTAGCAAGGGAAATTTGTGGTTAGGACACTTAAGGAAACAAGTGTTTTTCATATACTAAAGTAATCACCAAGTATTTAAATGTAAGAAACAATATGCACACACACACACACACACACACACACACACACACACACACACACACATATCAATATCATTAACTCAAATCCAAAGTATTCTGCTTCTCTGGGGAATCCTGATGCTATTCTTTCTCAACCACTAGTCAATATTAAAATAACTGTAGAGAAAATCATGCCCATTACTTCATTAACTCAATGTGAGCAAAATATTGCTTTAGAATGTGTTATTTATGTTTCGTCTGCATGTACTGGCTGTTTGGGATCCTAGTCTGTTTGGATGCTCACCTTCCTAGGCCTGGAGGGAGAGGGGAGGAACTTGAACTTCCCACAGGGCAGGAAACCCTGACTGCTCTTTGGACTGGAGAGGGAGGAGGAGAGGGAGTGGGGGGGAGGAGAGGGAGGGAGGGAATGGGAGGGTATGGAGAGGAGGGGAGGAAGTGGAAATTTTTATAAACAAACAAACAAAAAAAGAGTATGTTATTTATACCAGATGTTAAGAAACATATAATATTGGAACTTAATTTCCAGTAAGCACCAGTAATCTAATTCATATTTGAGCATTATTACTAGTTAGAATTCACTATTACTCTTGGGACTGAAGAGGTAGTTCAAGATTAAAAGAATGGGTTAGCTTATATATAAAAGAGCATAATGTATAAAGCTTATACATGAAAGTCCAAATAAAATAAAAAGCAAAGCCAAGGAAAAAACATCATTAGTACTTTCAATTAAGCAGTCACTTCTGCAACTTGTCATGGTGAGGTTTGTAAGTAACCTTATATTACTCAATTCAGAACCCATGCTGCATGGAAGCCTTCCCACACATGAACCTCTACCTAATCTAGGGACACTTTTAACCTCCGCTGAGTTTCCAAACTCTCCATTCCAATAGGAACTCAAAAGTTCAGCTATAGATTAAAAAACAACAACAACAACAACAACAGAAAAACCCAAACAAACAAACAAAAAAAAAACTACCAGGTACTTGATATTTGTAGCAGACTGGTTATTTAAATAGGTAGTAGTTTAGGTATTGCTATAAAGGTCCTTTTCAGTGAGTGGGTTTTAAGTAAAAAACATTAACTTTAAGAATGGAAGTGTGCTTCATCCACTCAGCTACAATGTCTTAAAAGCTAAGAATCATGTTTCCCAGGGGAAGACGGAATTCTGCCTCAATGCTGCAACATTACTTTACACCCCAGACTTTACAGCCTGTTCACAGATTTCACACGACAGATCTCACAGTTCTGTGAGCAAATTTCGTGAAGTAAACCCTCCCCCAATCAGTATTCTCTCTACTTCTTCACTCCTCCAGCCCCACACACGCATGGGAGAGCTGTGAGCAGAGTGAGTGAGGTATATTTTGTGTGGGACTAGGGAGATGGTTCAGTAGTTTAGAGCACTTGCAATGGCAGAGGATTCATGTTTGGTTTCCGGCACCCATATAGCAGCTCACAGTCATCTGAAACATCAGCCTGAGGTAGTCTGATATCTCCCTCTGGCCTCCATGGGCACTTACACTCATGTACACACGCAAGTATACATACCCTAATATAAACACACATACACATAATTAAAAATAAAGCTAACATCTAAAAAATAAAAAGCATTCAACTCATTTATATTTTTACATATTTTTATATGCTAAACCACACTTTGTACTTATTTCTTAAGTTATATATCATACACATTACATATACACATGCATGCACGGACACACACATTAATAAGCATGTTTTTATATATCTATCTTCTACTAGTTCTATTTTGCTGGGGAATCCTCATAAAAACATATTTAGGAGTAGATTTTATGCTTTGCATACATCATGCTCATGGCTATCATAATTTGTTCAGAGATCAACATGTGTACAATTCTGGCCAGTAAGATACAAGAGATACTTAGGAGATCTACTAAAGGTAAATATGCATGAATGTACACACACAAATGCAAATAACATCCCATCCACTATGGCAATTATACCCCTCAAGTATTCTTTTCTCCTGAGTGGTAGGACTACAGACACAGACCAAGGGACAGTACTTAACTGGCAGTCAGACACAAAGAGATAACTTGGAAAACCAAAACTGTTTTAACACTTACATACTTCTCGATTTCAATAAACAAAATGAATTTTAAAATGATACTAGGAATGAGTTAAACTGAGCAATAACAAAGTAACCCAGTGAAAAGGCAAAGCATTGAGGCTTAGGGTATGCTGCTAATGCTGTGCTCTGGAAACTTCCACGTGTGTATGCTTATTTAAAAAATGGGCATGGTGAACAATGTCTTTATTTTTATAAATAAACACTGTTGTGGAAGCTCTTTCAGCTCCTTCAACCAACAGTCTTTAAGATACCAGCTCACTAGGGTGTGGTCTCTTATACTATGAAAGCAGTTGTAAAGTATGCACGCTCTCTCTCTTGCTTCCAGCTCTTGCTTCCAGCTGCTAGACTCTGTTCCTGTTCCCCATTCGTGCAGAGAACTGTAATCTAGGACAGTGGTCTCTAAGTCTCCTCTAAATAAATAACCCTTTATTATACTTAATTCTGAAATAAGGTGGGATTATTTGTACCTTCTGCCATCAAAACACAACAGCACATCCAAATCCCATAAGAGAAAGCAAAAATAAAAACAAATCAATTAAAAGAAAGAATTAAATAAATAAAAGATATAAAAATTTAAAAAGGAATATTTTATACAATGAGTTATAATAAGCTCTCTGAAAAGACTAAGAAAATTGATTAACAGCCCATAAGAATGTTTATCAACATAAGGGATGAAGAAGAAAATACCACATTAGACACTAAAAGACATCAAATATATCACAGGAGGAAATGTTTAACAATGGTATGCTAGTAAATTAGAAATTTAGATAAAATGAAAATATTCTCAGGAAACTATAACTTATTAAAACTGACAAAAGAAACATAAAATATAGTCCTAAAATCACTTATAAATTTAATCTGTAATTATAAAGTCTCCCACAGAGAAAAAGACATGCACAGGTGTCTTCACCATGTATTCTTCCAAACATTTAAATATTTAGCTATTTAAGTAACTTTA